AAATTAAGAAAGAAGGAAAAGATATGATGTTGGAGAATTCCAAAAAAAAGTCTTGTCATAGACCACTTAGAAAACTATAATACTTACAATTTTATGTAAAGTATGACAGCAGGAAACAAAACCATTTAAAAATTGAGCATATGGGTTTGACATTTCATGCACACTATGTTCTCAAGTTGTATCCATTTACATGTGAATACCTCGAGTTCTCTTTCATTATAGCAGCAGAGTACTTCATTATAAAAACAAAAATAAAAAATTGATACTTTTAACTTAGAAATTCTACTTATAGGAATAAGCCTAAAGAAATGACCCAGAGATATACACAAACAGATCTTTATGAAGATGAATATACATGGAAAAACCTGGCAAGAAAACCCAACAACTTTCTAATAAAATCATGGTGCATATATCTGATATAATATAATGCAAAAACTAAAATAATATTTTCCAAAATGTTAAATAAAGTGTAAACATCAGCCTTAAACACTGTTAAGTGAAGCAAGTGGAGTAAATCTCTAATTTATACTCCATAGTAGAATGGGTTTTCAGGGGAAACATTAATGCTAAGTAAAATATAAAACATATTATTCTAATGCCTGGGTGAGCTCACAGGAAATTAAGTAAATTAATCAGAAAGCAGAGAAAAAAATAGCAAACACAAATCCACAAAAACAGGTGAGCACTTGAACCTGTATCTTCCTGATTGCTAGCTGTTGTGTCTTGAGACTGAGTTCTACTGGTCCACTGATGCTAAAGTCAGGAGACAGCCTGTAGTTCTTGCAGAGATCAGAGGAAGACGGAAAATTTCTGCATTACCAGGGGGTAATATTTTAAAAGTCTAATCCAGAGGGGAAAAATGCTCTTCACAGACATCAGTGGAGAGATTCACTATCTAAGCAAGACCAGAAAGAAAGGAATAATAAGAAGGAAAAAAGGAAAGAAGGAGAAGGGAAGGGGAGGTGAAGGAAGAGAAAGGAAGGGATGAGACGGAAAGGGAAGGGAAGCAGGAAGGAAAGAAAGAAGCAAGGAAGGAAGGAGGTGAGATTTGTACTAAGCTCTTGGATTGAAAGCATCAAATCAAAAATTGAAGTCTTTGTAAATAGGAAGTATGGAGGGGTTTGAGGGAGAGCAGGGAACGGGGAAAAAATAAGAACCAAGGTAAATTATGCAAAGGTACAAATTTCCAATGATGAATGTCATTATAGTACTTACCTAAAATGTGCCAATAAAATGAATTTTTTAAAAAATTATGCTAAATATGTCCAAGTAGATGCCAAGGAACATATAACTTTAAATATGCGTGTTCCTAATAGCATTGTATTTTATGTGTAGTGTATAAAAAAGAAAGAAAAAGAGGGAGGCAAGAAAGAAAAGGAAGGAGAGGAAAGAGAGAGGGATCAGAAATAAAAGAGACAATTTACTTCAAAGTAAGAAAAACAGTTTAAAACCTGTCAATTGAAAATCTAATAATTTAGTGACATTAGTTTAAAAAGAAATAAAATTTGAATGATGCTATGTTCATTAAAGTAGGTTTTACCTAAAAATACAAGATAAAAGAGAAAAACTTCTTCAGATTAATGATTACTTACAAAAATGTTTAGAAAGAAAACTTTACATCTAACATTGTACTTAATATTCCCAGTTTGGGGAATAAGGCAGAATATCTGATCCCATCTCTGTATTTGATATCATAATGTAAGTTTTGGCAAGTACATATGATAAAGCAAGAAAAATAAATAAAAGGCATACAAAGATTAGAAAGGAAAATGGTATATGCATAAAAACAGATTACCTAGAAAATTTCAAGAATATTTATTTTTTAAAAAGGTATTAACACTGAGTATAGCAAGATCACAGGCTACTGCACCAATATACAAACAAAGTCAACTATATTTTTCTATAATAACAATGAACTAGTGGAAATGGAATTTTTTAAAAAAGAACAAAATTGACATCAAAGTCATGAAATAACATGTATAAATACCAAATATTTTCTCTGGTGTGAAAAACTATAATGGTACATAAGATCTTAATGGTATAATTGGCAATGTGAAATAGGAAGAAAGGGCTAAAGGTGTAGGGGAAGTGGGAAGGGTAGGGGAAAGGTAATTAAGGAAAAGAAAAAAATGAGAAAAATGAAAAAATGGAAATAAAGTATTTGTAAATAGGGAAGGGAGGAGGGGGTGAAGGGAGGGCAGGGATAAGGGGCAAAAATGAGAACCAAGACCTGTCATATAAAGGTACAAGATCTCAATGATAAATGTAACTGTAATATCCCTGAAATGTACCAATAAACTCAATGAGGAAAAAAAAAGTCATGAAATGCCTAGGTATAAATCTTACAAAGTATGTGTAAGAGCTGTAAATCTATAAAATATTGAAAGCTATAAAGCTATAAAACATTGATAAAAGAAATCAAAGTTCTAATTAAACAGATAAATATGCAATGGTGACAGTTTTAAAGATTTAATTATCAAGATTTCAATTTTCCTACACTGATTTATAGATTCCAGTACAATTTCAATCAAAATTCCAACTTTTTTTTGTAAAAAAGAATCAACTGATTAATTTTTTTCAATAGAAAAAAATAGAGGAAATAGAAATTACAAAACAATTTTTAAAAAGAAAAATAAAGTTAAAGGACACATATCATATGAACTCTAGGCTTCTTTTGATGCTCTGGCAACCAGAACAAAACAATAATGAAGAAAAAATAAACATGTAGATAATAGCACAGGATAGGGTACAAAAATAGACCCACAGATTGACTTTCAACAAAGATAAAAAAAAACTACTTAGTGGGAAAAAAAGCAATTTTTTCAACAGGTGGTTCCGGAATTTATTGGACCTCCACACTGAAAAAGAAATTAGCCTATAGTGCCCCCCCACCCCTACCCAAAAAATAACTACAAAAGAATCATATTATAACTGTCAAATCTACAACTATGAAACTTCCAGATGAAAATTTAGGAGAAAATATTTTTAGTCTTGGGTAGAGAAGATTTCTTAGACACAAAATTCAAAAGGCTAAGAAGGTAACTGAACTTCATTAAAATTAAGAACTGCTACTCTTTGAAAGACAGTGCTAAAAGAATAAAGAGAAAAGAATGAAATAGAAAAAACTGCAAAATATATATGTATCTAATAAAGGCTTATTTTCAGAATAAAATAACTCAAACTTCTCAGCAACATGAAGACCCAGTTTTTTGACTGAGCAAGAGAGGTGACCAGGCACTTCATCAAAGAAGATACAGATGCCAAATAATCATATAAGATACTCAGTATCATTAGTTATTAAGGAAATGCAAATTAAAACCACATAAAATAAACACATGCCTATACAACAATACATTTGCAAATATTTATAGCATACTTATTCATCAACACTCCAAATATTTCTCAAATCATGAAGAGATAAACTATAGTGTACACAAAGTAGAATATTATTCAGCAATAAATAAAATGAAACTACTGATAAACACCATAGCAAAATGAACCTCATATGGGCTATGCCATAGGAAAGAAGACAAGCTCAGAAGGATATTTGATGTATAATGATAATGACTTTTTTTGACATTTGCAAAATATAGCACTATAGGAAATGTACACATCATATCATTGATATCTAGATTATTAGTTAAATATAACTGATAAATATAAACTGATAACTGATAAATGTAAAATATAAATGTCACATACACACACACACACACACACACACACACACATATATTATCAGTAGTTGCCAAAAATGTTGACACCACGTTTTTTTTTTATAGGTGGTAGAAGTCCTGAATGCATGTTATTCGCAATAAATACTCAGAATTGTTAACTGTGTTGAGAATTTAAGAAACCCAGAGGTTTGGAAGTAGTCTGGAGATCCAGGCATCAGCCTTAGGGATGACAGGTAAATACTAGGAAGAACACCACTTCTAGAGGGGAATTTCAAAGTCTGTTTATTACATGAGATGCTGTATGCATTTCATCGTGACTGATTCCCACACCTCATCCTTTAATGTGCTTTCCCTATTTTTACAGTACAGTAGGAAAGAATGGAGTGAGATTGAATCAGACAAGTTTGTCCCTTTTTTCCCTGAGGAGTGAAATTTAGTAATCATTTTGAGTGTACTTTGTAAAAGATGACTATAGTCGCCGGCAATATAGAGTAATAAAACCATGACCAGACTATTTTCGTAAAGTTTAAAAACAGACAAAAGGAAACTACAATGTTAGAAACTGGAGCACCCATTACCTTCGGAGATAAGAAAATAGGTGGTGGTTAGATGGGGCAACTGGGAGTGTTTTCGTCTATCAAGTGGTGGTTACCCCGGCCCCGTTCACTTTGTGGAAACTCATGGGCACGCTTGCAGCTTATTTATTTTACTGTATGCATGCTACATTTCAATGAGGTGAAAAATGTAATTTCTTAAAAAATCGTGAGAGAATGTCTGCTGTACAGTTCATAACAGAAAGATGCCATTTTTATGGGTATCCAGGGTTATCCAAGGTATGGATGACGACCTACCGCTCAGACTCAGAAGGAGCCATGGCAGTTCTTTTCAAAAGTTTCTTCTATACACAGGACATATAAAGTCCTGCCAATGTGTATTTTATGATAAAAATAAGTTTAAAGATATTTTTAAATATATATGTGATACTTTATAAAGTGTATTTATATCCATGTGTGCAAGAGTCAGTGAATTAGAATGGTCTATTTTTTAACACTTATGGTAAAAGACTACAAAAATACACACTAAAATGCTTTTAGTGATTCTCTTTCGAATACAGGCAATTTTTTGGAATGCCTTTGCTTTCAAAAATATTATTAACGAGCCTTTTCTTTCTTTCTTTCTTTCTTTTTTTTTAGAATACAAAAGGAAAAATAGAAACAACCCTGACACACGAAACCCAAGACAGAGAATATATTAGCGCAAGGCTTCTGGTGCACCAGCCCTTGGGGGCGGGGCCTCGCCGAACGAGCTCTACCCCAGAGCCCGCTGGGTGGCCAAGGGGCCTAGGACGGTTGGAGCTCATCCTGGGCTGAGGCCAAAGCCGGCAGGAGGACCCAGCTGCTCAGGTAGGAAGAAAGTCAGTTCTTCCCAGTTCGCTTGCTGGGCAGGAAGGGAGGAAACCCTCAGGGGGAAGCTTGAGGATTTGGGAGCATGATCGTCCCTTCTTCCCCACTTGGAGTGAGGAATGAACGTTGCTCATACATAACCCTAAAACGTAGAGAAGGCATTGTTTCCTGTAGGCGGTTAGAAGATAGCAGTGGCTGCGACGGGCACAACATGTCCCATGCCCGTTTTCATGAGAGAGGAAAGGCCAAGATCCTACTCCATTTCCCAGTAATGGAATGTTCATTTTTGTTTCTCTACATCCTAACTTGTGCGCCCTAAAGAAGCGCATAAACTGGGGACAGCTCCTTCTTTCTGGTCAAGTGAGAACCGACGACTGCGTCAGTGTCAGTTTATTAGTCATTGCTATGTGGGGTGTTTTGCACTGGACTGAAGACGCTGATCGTGACTGAGTAAAGTTTCAGGAAGACATTCCGTATGACGAGCCCTCTCTCTCTCTCAGACACAGACCATATTACCATCTTGTGTGCTAGCCTCACGCCCGGTATAAAACGAGAGCTCTGAAATACTCAGTGTATGAGCGAGGGACTAAATGTATAAACGAATGTCTTCACGAGGAACCTATGTTTCGTAGGGAGTTCAGCACAAGCAGTGAAAAATAGCTGTCAAGCTTTGTTTAATAAAATTTACTCTCTTTATTTTGAGACAAGAATTTTCTCCATAGTTCAGGCTGGGATTACAGGCGTGCACCACCATGCCCAGTTTACAATTCATTTTCTTTACCCATAAAATATTTACAGGCAATACTAAGGGTTTCTGTTTTTGAAACACTAAGGAAGTGCGCACCATTTTAGTAAGCCATTGGTTTGAAAGGAATGCTCGCTTGAAAACTTGCTTTCTTTTTTTGCGGTATTTTATTTCTTATGTTAAATTTAATGTACTAACGGTATTATACACATGAAAAGATTCAGGATCTTTCTAATTTCACCAGTGGTTCCTGGTATGCATGAAGGTGCTGTCCTGCTTCAGTATTATCACAGGCTGGATAGACTGTTTTGCTCCAGTTTAGAAATATATATATAAGGGATTTTATTATTTATATGTGACAAAACTTGAACATATTTATGAAATGATAAGTAAATAAAATCAGAAGAAAAGAATGCAGTGGCCACAAGAGATAGAAAAGAACACTTGAAACTGCCTAACTCTGCCCAGGTTGTACTTTCTTCATTGTCCCTCATTTAGTCTATGAATAGGGAATGAAATGCTTTTGCTAACAGGGGGAAAAGGGCACAACAGGAAGCAAGGCTGTTGAGAAGCATCTCAGCAAGGTTTAAAACGATTTAAAACCCTTTCTGCAAGTGCACAGGGCCGACCTAAATTGTTGAGTTGCCATCATGTGTAATAAAGTACATAATCAAGACAGAACTGATATTTTTTGTAGTTCCCAAGTGGACTTTTCACTGAAGTAGCTGCTCGATCTCATTCAATCTGTTACTCATCTGTGTTATTATAACCAAATGGCTAAAAATTCCCATCTGGTCATTTTTAAAGATATTCCAAAGAGAAATAATTTCAAAACCCATTCAGGAAAAATTTCTTATATTTTGTTTGTCACAGTAAAGAATGGAAAGAAGCTAGTTATATGGGCAGTGAAACCAGCACCTTGGAAATTGATTATAATTTAAAACAAAGCAAAAAATGAGCATGACTCATGAGATACGAAATCTTAAAATGATCCCCAGGCAGACACCCAAGTTCCTTGCTTACTGCAAAACAATTTTTTGCTAATTAAGAAGCACAATGACTAAAGACACATCCTTTTACATGGAATTTGACTGGAAGTCTTTTCTTTTTTTCCTTTTATGTGACACATCAGTTCAAAACAGTTGATTAGGTACCCCAACAACAGTAGGCCAAGGTAACAAAAGTGAAGAAAACACCATATGCTCAAGGGTTTTTAAATCCTTTTAAATTAAGGAGCCCAGAATATTGTCTCTCAGCTAGTGTAGAATATATTGAGTCATCTTCTCAGAATGTAACATTCAAGTTATAACATTTTGCACCCATAAACACCCTTCCTGAATTTTTTCAAGGATGTTATAAAATAAAATATTACAGCAGTCTGGCTTACAGATTACCAAAATAGACTATAACTTATCACAATTCTGGCAAAATTTCAAAATATACATGATGAATAAGTGTGAACCATCTGTCCATTAAAAAGATTATTTCCTAATTGTCTAATTTTTAAAAATTATTGTGATATAATAACAATAATAAAAATGGCAGTAATGACAGCATAATTGTTACTGTTTATTGAGCACTTATTATTCTCCGGCAGTCTTTTTCTATTGCTCTTCTCAACAACATGAGACAGACATAAACCCCATTTTGTATATGTGGAAACAGAAGCCAATGGCTATAACTGATATCAGTATCATTCCAAATTCTCCACATGATGAGGAAATTGTGAAAATAACCCAAGGGCAAAAAAATCAGCTTTATTTCTGCATTTTAGAAAATCTTCAGGAGTGAATTTATTTACATATAATATGATTTGATAATATATACTTACATATATCTATCATAAAACACTCACGATTCATGTATTTGATCCACTGTGTCACCATCTGGATAACTTCAAAAGGTAATTGAGCTCATTTGACACAGACAAGTGTTAGAATGTGTCCCTATAGCTAACCTTAATGAGTAGAAGCTGAAACTAAAGTCACACTGTAATCTAGGATTGCATGTCAAGTGGAAAATTCAGGAGGTTTTAAGTAGCCCATTTAAAAAGAAATGTTTTGGGGGAAAGTAGTGGTATAATTACTGAATGGGAATCAAAGCTCTTGATATCAATTCCAGTTCATAGGCATAGAATTAGAATTAGTTGTTCTGTCTTGCTATTTGTTTTACATGTACTTAGATAAGTCATACATATGCCTTTCAAGGGTAAGCATCAGTACATAGATTCTAAATGTAAAAAGATTGCATGTAACTCTGTTGGTGGTGATGTTTTTTCAAAAATATTTTTGAAAATACAGACTTAAAAATACCAGTCTTGTTTTCTTCAAGTACCTGTAACTTAATCTACTGCTTGTAAGGATGATAATGCCATGCGTTCGTTTAAAAGTTATGGCACTTAGCCTGGGTTCGTGTTTCTCTGCTAGAATAATTCTCCTTAGGAAATTCCACATTGTGAGCGTTCATCGGATTTCACATGCATGAATGCTCCAGTGCTCTGCACCAGTGCTCACTTAAATTCCTATTAGCCAGCACAACTCGAGCAGAAGAATTCAATGCTGTCATGAAAGATCACCTAAGCTACAGCCTGAAAAGATGTTGCACTGTCACCCCTCTCCCCCCTAAAAAAGTATGCATTCAACTTGTTAGAAATCAGTTCGATGTTAAGTTGAAGATGTAAGGAAAAATCTATGACGTAAACCACATCACATCCCTGTTAAATAGAATTGGAGACCTAAGTTTAAATTGTGGGAAAAACAAGGATCACTATAATCCTGTGATCTCCACAGCATATGATCCCAAATCTAAAAAACCTCATCTATAGGGAAATGAGTGTGTGCACGTGTGTGCTTGTGTCGGGGAGCATTTTTGCACTATCCACCTCAGAGAAGGAGTACACACATAGTCAGGTAAATACCGTTAAGTATTGGGGGCAAGGCTTAATTAAAAACTCTGAGATCAGATCTCTCAATTTTTTCTTGTCTTTTATATTCACAAACATATTTTTGTTGTTGTTTTTTAGAGACAGGGTCTCAATATGTAATTCAGACTGGCCTTGAACTCTCTAGCCTGGAATGGCCTCCAATTCACAGCCGTGCTCTTGCCTCCGTCCCCTGAGTGCTGGGATTATTCACTAATTTATTTAACAGTGAAGGGAACCTTATATTAAACACTAGGGTCACTATCAGATTGGGAGGAAAGAACTGATGCACATTAAAAATCAACAACATTTATCATTTAAACATTGAAATGTTGAAACTCAGCAGACTGAAGATAGCAAGTATTTAAGATTGTTTCTGAATTGACGCATTTCATGAAAGTAGAAAAGAAAATTGCACAGTTCATAGTCTTTCTTCTGGCGGATGCCATATCGTCTCCCATTTTCCTCCCATAGGCTCTGCCTTTCATGGACTTTACCTTATCCCTTTGTTGCCACAGAATTTTATCACACGGTACCTGCACTAACCTGGTCACTTTTGCTATTTTTTAATAGCAGTCACCACTTCTGTTTTCAGAAACAGCTTTTTTTTTTTTTTTCTGTTTTGAAAACAGAAGTGGTGACTGCTACCCCTCAGCTTTTCTAATTATCAATTCATTTTCATTCTTTAGAGAATTTTCATATCTCTACTGTGCTCTCAAAAGTGGGATAGAATATAGGTACAGAGGGATGGAGATGCTGATTGAAAAGGTCTCTGCAGAGCCTGATTCAACCTACCTCTAATGTTGAGAGTGCTGCTTCTGTCTGGGACAGTCATACCCGAAGATGTACAAAGGTATCGGCTGATTTCTATGTAAAATGATGGCAGAGGCAGACAGTTTCTTTTTCTTAGCAGAACTCATTATCCAAGCTCTTGAGAGTCCATTTCTGCTAATGTAGGGATGAGGAGGACTACTAAAATTAGGCCAACATCTGTTTGTGGCTGTGCACGCCTGTCATACTAGCCTCTTGAAGGATGAGGCAGAAGGATTCCAAGCTGGAGCCCAGCCTGCGCAATTTAAGGGCCCTATCTCAATACTTTTAAAGGGCTAGAAGGATGAAGTCCAAGGCCAAAGTCCTGGATTCAATCCCTAGGAGAAGTTTAGGAGGAGGGGTTGAGAATGAGGACTTACCAATCAGAATTCGATAATGATTTAAAGTAGTTTCTTTACTGGGTGTTGGTGGTACAAGCCACAATCCCAGCACTCAGAAGATGGAGGCAGGAGGATCAAAAGTTCAAAGCCAGTCTGAGCTACACAACAACATCCTGTCTCAAAA